CTGTTATGCTAATGTCTATTTATAGATCTCTTCTTTTTTGTTGCTGGTGTTATGTTTGTGTCTGTGTTTGGGGTGGGGGGATGGGTTAATTAACTGAGCTCTAATGAGATGTCTGCTTAGGATTTTCCCTCACTTTTCGTCTATTTTTTGCTGCTGAGTAAGTGCTAACTGCACATGAGGACAGGTGTTTTAGAAGTCCCGGAGAATGTAAGGAGACGGCACAGGAAAGATCGAGTTGTGTTAATTAACGCATGCCGTGATGCTACTGTAGGAAGGATCGGCGTGGGCGGTTGGCGAGTGTTCCGGAGTAGTTTGCTCCTTCTTTCCTGTCAAACATCTGATTCTGTTATCGTCGGTATTTGTCCTCCTTTATTTTTCTTTGTGTGTTACTCTCTAGATTCTAGTAACACTTCTACAACTGCATATTGTCAATACTTCTAACCTTCGACATGAGTGGTTGGCGGGTGCTCTGGTGTGGTTTGCTCCTTCTTTCTTAACAAACATCTATCGTCCTTATCTTTCCTTTTTTTTATGTTTGTTACTCTCTTGTAACACTTTTAATCTTCTGGCGCTCATATGACCGTATGTAGTTGCAAGCGCCGTAAAACCTCTACTAAAACAAAATTAACCTTCGACAGTTGACTCATCTTCTCATGTTGAAAGAGCCGCAGAACTCATACTAAAGTTAAAACTGGGAGGCTCTCGTGGCCTAAATGTTGAGGTGTTTACCTCTCGTTCAAAGGTCCTGGGTTCGAATCCGGGTGGGTAGCGACGGAAAAATTTTGTTCTCTAAAATTGTCTCCTTTCACCTCCTTTCCTGCTCTCTAGCAATGTTCTGTCGTCTGCTTTCGTCTCCACTTTCTGCACCCACCTCTTCACCTCCTTTGCCCCCTCCTCTGAGTTACTGACTCTTTCTGCAGCATTTCTACTGCTACTCCGTGGCTACTTCTTACTGCTGTCTTTCAGCCACAACAATAATCTTCTGGTAGGAAAGATCTACACTTAACCTTCTCTGACAATGGCGAAAAATCTCGGAGGTCCCGTGTGCAAGTTGCACACTTTAAAGATCCCTTTGTGGTCTTAAATCGATAAGAGTAGTCTTCGGCCGCCACCCGGGCAAATTTAAAAAAAAGTCCTACCAACTGAAAATGTTTGATGCAGATGCGAGCGCCGTAAACATTTACCCCAAAAAATTTTTAAAAAGTAAAAGCTAAAACTGATGAATCGCTTCTTTTTTCAACATCTAATGTTTTACAACCTTGTCGACACAATTTAGATCATTTAGGAGGCGGGCTTCAACCCTGGCTGTCAGGGCCAACGCAGCCTGAGAGGGATACAACGTCTCAGCAGAAATACCTAGATACTTGATAAAAATTATCCTCCATACGGGAATTAAACTCAGATCTCCTGAATGCGACGGCGAAGTAGCTATGTGAGGCATCGTGGTGAAATCGGGTGCTCGTCAAAATAATGACATGCGAGAAATCGACATTTTTCGGCCAGTTCGGACATTTTTTCGTAAATTTTGTTTTAACACCTGATGTTCATATCCATTCAAAAACACTTTTATATGTGGATTTTAGGGAAAACGTTGATTACAGTCATAAAAAATGTAAATTTGCTGTTTCCAAGGACTCTTAAGCTATGGAAGTCACCTAACTTTGGCGGCCATTTTCTTGCTAATTTTACTTCTGAAACCGGGCGACTCCACCTCCTTCAATCGATAATATCTCGACTTCTATTCAAGATAAATTAAATATTAACGACAAATGAATAACCTTTAAAATGATATCAATAACCTCATATGTCCAAAACTTGACGAGCGCCTGATTCCACTGCGTCGTGACACCTCTATATCAACACACCACAGATACCAGTTCGTGAACTTGGACGATATTGTCAGAGATAAAGAAAGAATAATACTGTAATACCACTTGCGTTAGTCCCCTTTCTAGAAATCTGAGTTACGCTGGTATGTACGAAACACACATAAATGATTCACAGGGATATATGAACGTCGCAATATACACAAGGTGACGACTATACAGATAGTATAATAAAACACGTCATTGCTGGTCGCTACAGTGCAACGTACTTTACCCACCCTTAGT